GGATAAAGTTCTACGGCCTGAGAGATTCCATGCAGATCCAAGCTCGGCTGGAGCATCAAAATCGTGGATTCACTGGCGTCGAACTTTCGAAAACTTTCTCGCYGTTTTGWYTGAAGAAGGCCTCGATAAATTTAGAGTTCTTACMAATTTTATCTCGCCTACAGTGTTCGAATATGTGGAAGAATGTACCGACTAYGAGTCTGCGATCGAAACTCTTCAGAATATTTATGTTAAACCGACCAACGAAATCTACGCGAGACACCTACTGGCTACTAGACGTCAGCAGACGGGTGAAAGCCTGGACGAGTATCTACAGGCTCTGAAAACTCTCAGCAAGGAATGTAACTTCCAACCAGTCAACGCTACCAAGTATTGTGAGGAATACATACGGGATGCCTTCATTTCGGGATTGCATTYTAACCAGATCCGTCAAAGGTTGCTAGAAAACAAAACCTTGGATTTGAAAACCATGTTTGACCAAGCCAGGGCACTYGACTCTGCTATGCGCAGCTCAGAAAGTTAYTTTGCCCCTCAACCTGTCACTGCTGTAGCAGCAGCACCAGAAATAGTCCCTCRGAATCCAACTCAAGTCGACTCCCCTCAGTCAGGTTCCACACTCGCAGCGACTGATCCAACGTGTTTCTTCTGTGGAAATTCTAGACACCCTCGTTCTAAGTGTCCGGCTAGAGATGCAACTTGCAATAAATGCCAAAAGAAGGGACACTTTGCTAAAGCCTGTCGAGGAAAAGCCTCTAAACCCAGCGAAGTTTCAGCTGCTCTCTGGTCACCTACTCTTGCCACTGTAGGAACTCCTCCAGCTCTTAAAAGGTCAACTGCTACTGTTGTTGTCAACAAGGACTGGAGAGTGCAAGCACTCTTCGATAGTGGTAGCAGTGAGAGCTACATACATCCAAGCCTAGTTGAAGTAGCAGCTATCTCTGTTAACCCTGCGATCAGCCAGGTCTCCATGGCAACGTCCTCGTTAAGCACAAAGACCCAGGGCTCTTGTTCTGTAACTATTAAMTACCAAGGACAAACTTATAAGGACTTTCGTCTGTCAATTATGCCAGGACTATGCTCGGATCTGATTTTAGGACTCGATTTCCAGTCTCAACATGATAGTGTCACGTTCAAGTATGGTGGGACAAAACCACCGCTGTCTGTATGCAGTCTCACSACACTGAACATTGARCCACCATCKCCATTTGCAAACCTCACGGCTGACTGCCATCYGATCRCTACGAGGTCTCGGCGATACAGCAAGGATGACCTGACCTTCATTGGCCATGAAGTAGATCGGCTGCTTAAGGAAGGCATTATTGAGCCAAGCCAGTCCCCTTGGCGGGCCCAAGTAGTTGTCACAAAAGATGAGAACCACAAGAAGCGCCTGGCGATTGATTACTCGCAAACAATCAATCGATTCACCCAGCTTGATGCATTTCCCCTGCCACGGATCAGCGATATAGTCAACGAAATAGCTCAGTACAAGGTCTTCAGTACCCTTGACCTCCAAAGTGCATACCATCAAATACCCCTAAAAGAAGATGACAAGCTTTACACTGCCTTTGAAGCTAAAGGAGGACTTTATCAGTTCACTCGGCTTCCTTTCGGTGTAACCAATGGCGTAGCGTGCTTCCAAAGAGAGATGGTAACGTTTGTTGAAGATAATCACCTCAAAGCTGTTTTTCCATATATCGACAACATAACCATCTGTGGAAGAGACCAAGTTGACCATGATGCCAATTTAAAGGCATTCCAAGAAGCTGCTCAAAAGGCCAACCTTAAGTTCAACGACAGCAAAAGCGTCTTCTCTACTCAACGATTGCCATTACTGGGGTACGTCATCGAAAATGGTTGTATTAGTCCAGACCCCGAAAGGTTAAGGCCACTACTASAGCTTCCTCTGCCACAAAACTCAAAGTCTCTTAAWARATGTCTGGGACTCTTCTCCTACTATTCTCAATGGGTTCCTAACTTCTCTGACAGGATTAAACCCATTACAAGCTGCAAATCATTTCCCCTATCCTCTGAGGCAGAACGAGCATTTGAAGAGATAAAGAGTATCATCGCCAAAGCTGCTGTCTCCGCCATAGACGAGAGYGTYCCATTTGWGGTRGAGACCGACGCTTCKGATGTGGCCATAGCTGCTACCCTCAACCAAAAGGGCAGGCCGGTAGCCTTTTTCTCACGCACACTTCAAGGTAGTGAACTGAAACACTCAGCTGTAGAGAAAGAGGCGCAGGCAATAGTTGAGTCAGTTAGACACTGGAGACATTTTCTTACTGGGTCTCACTTCACCCTGAAAACTGATCAAAAATCAGTTTCTTACATGTTTAATCAGCGTCATCAAGGGAAGATTAARAACGACAAAATCATGCRCTGGAGGATGGAACTGAGTTGTTACAGTTTTGACATAGTATATYGACCTGGCAGGGAGAATGTTGCMCCTGATACCTTCTCACGAGCAACATGTGCCTCCAGTGCCAATGATTCTCTCTACCAGCTTCATGATGCACTCTGCCACCCTGGGATCACTCGATTTTGGCACTTTATTCGTGCCAAAAACTTGCCTTATTCTCTAGAGGATGTTAAGAGGGCGGTTAACACCTGCTCAATCTGCCGTGAATGTAAACCGGTATTCCACCGCCCAGAATCAGCTCATCTTATAAAGGCCACTCAACCCTTCGAGCGGATCAACATTGACTTTAAAGGACCACTGCCTACCAACAACAAGAACAAATACTTCCTGAATGTTGTTGACGAGTATTCTCGATTTCCGTTTGTTTTCCYTTGTCCTGACGTGTCCACTCCAACCGTCATAAAGTGCCTCACCTCATTGTTTTCACTATTTGGTATGCCTGCCTATGTGCATTCTGACCGGGGGGCTTCGTTTCTGAGTAAAGAGCTACGGGAATTCCTCACTAGCAAGGGTGTAGCTACCAGTCGTACTACCAGTTATAATCCCACATGCAATGGTCAAGTCGAGAAGTACAATGGTACTGTGTGGAAGTCTATCACGGTGTCTCTGAAATCAAAGAATCTTCCGACAGAACAGTGGCAACTGGTCCTACCAGATGTGTTGCACTCAATCCGTTCTCTTCTATGCACAGCAACTAATGAGACTCCCCACGAACGTTTCATGAACTTTTCACGMCSTTCGTCTTCAGGCAGTTCGATTCCTTCTTGGTTGGCTGAACCTGGCCCGGTTTATGTAAAGCGTCATGTACGATACAGCAAATTTGATCCTTTGGTTGAAAAGGCAGATGTTCTCCAGGCCAATACCCACTATGCTCACATTCGTTATCCTGATGGTAGAGAAACCACGGTCTCAACSAAACATCTTGCTCCTTATGGTCATGATGTGGAACACGTRGAACCACACAACTCAACCCAGGATCCAATTGCTGAACCCAAGATTCCTAGTGAACTTCCTCAAGACAGAGGTTGTCCTGATGCGAATAAAACTCCAGAACCAGARMCCATGCTATTGAGAAGATCACAGAGGGAACGTCGCCCTGTGGATAGACTAAATTTATAGGAAGGGGTGAATGTAGTGACAATCGACACCCAACTGTTGTTCAGAATTATTGTTTGAATAACTTTAGTTAAA